AAATATATATAAAAATCTATTTTCTCTGGATATTTTTGTTATCTTCCATGTTTTGTTTTTTCAATAAAATGTTTTTTTTTAAGAAATTGCTAAATTTCACAAATAATTACAAAGAATCGGCAAGTAACATTGAAATTTTGAAGTAGAAAGACTGAAGTAGTATTTTCTTGTAAAAGGTACTCAAATAATCTTTGTTTTATTTACAACTTCGAAAATATTTTTACAGTGTTCTTATTTACATAGGCTAATGTTAACAACTCGCATGTTTAATGTAGTGCTTATTATAAAATAAAGAAATAAAAAAATAGAAAATAGTAATACAGTGTTGTCAACACAGAAACCGTATCTTATAAATTGGTTTGTAAGGATCGTGCGTACTGCAGACAGCGTGGATGCGCGTTTGTGTATGCGCGTTAGCGCAGAGGGAGCGGGTTCAGTACGTCTAGTACACAGGATAGCGGCACTCGTGGGTACTCACAGAAGCACAGCGGCGATTTCTATCACCGTTTAGCACCACTGAAGGTGCGACATTTATTCCGGGCACGTACCTGACAGCGGACTGTCCTGAAGCCCCACGGAATCTCGCGCTCTAGTAGAGTGAGAGAGAGTATAGCGCGCGCTGAACAGACCGCAGTGGAATGTAGCGGGGATTCCCGGCGCGCGGGGCAAGGTGAGTAAAAACCTCCTTGATGCATCTTCACACTACTCACGAGGCTATTGATCTTTTCACTTAATTGCCATTCGGTTCCATTTCACCGTCGCTCTTCATAGGTTTTCTGCTGTTTAAGTGGTACATTTTGGCAACGCGCGCCTGGGTATAGAAATGATAAGAGACAATCAGCAGTGTCGTTTGATCTGGACTCGACTACTAATATTCCTTACACTGCAAAAAATTGGCAGCAATGTCAAATGCGGGGTATGTCGCCACTACGGACGATTTGTTTACCGAGCAAATCCATGTGTTGCCTGTAATCTGCGGTCAACCCGTGTGTGTGAAATTCAAGAGTAATTTAAAATAGCTATATTGCAAATTAATGTTTTTTCATTAGTTTGAATAGCCATTATTATCAGTCACAATGGACTCTTAGGCTTATGAGTTGCTAATTATGACGGTTCAATTTGCATCAGGGCATCATCCTCTCACATTGATGCTTTCAAACACAACTGGACACATGCACATGCTCAGTGACACGTGACTCCAGCAAATTATTGAAGGGAAAAAAGTTAAATACGCCTGCGTCAATCATTTGACATTCATCACACCCATCATCATCATCATCTTGCTCCCACATGCACGCACATTCTCACTGATTAGTCAAAGGGATTTTCAGATGCACTTCAGATCAGGTGGCAAGATGCCATTTGAAGGAAGGAAAAGAAGAGAAGAGGATGTATGAGATGGTGTGTGTACATTTATAATAAGATTAAAGGCTACAGCTTGTTTTTAGGACAAGCAGCAACAGAGGAACAGTGGAGTGTGGAGCAGGTATAAGTGGCCCTGATGTGTTAAAAAATGTGTATGAAAGGAAAGAGGAATCTAGATCATCAGCTATTTTAGCTCCTTCTAGATGTGGAGTTATTTTGGTTCTTCCCTCTGTAGTGACTGTAGTTTCACGTGTTGTCACGCTCTCTCATTTCCAAATAGTCTGTAAACAAATTTAATGGATTTGCATATTCATTCCACTATTAATATAGTTCATTATAAATCAATTTTGACTCCACGCAACTGTAGGACCGTTTTGTCCACAGAGACATGCCAACAGATTCATTATCACATGCATATGCGCAATTCTTTGCATAAATGTGTGGTTCGAATGCCTCTGCTATTGTACAAGGAATAGGAACATATTGTGACTGTTTACTCACATGTCATGTCATTCAATATATATATATATATATATATATATATTTTTTTTTTTTTTTTTCTCTCCAACTTTTTCACTATTTTAGATCACCCTTTAGATTTTTGGTAGTTTACCTTTACCTTTTTAAACATACAAATATTCAATTTAGTTTTTCCAATTAATTAGATCATAAAAAAAAATGCAAAAACAACACACAAACAATATTTTCCCTAAAATACACAATATCTTACATTTTTCTCTAATATTTTTTATGTATTTTTGATCAAATAAATGCAACCTTGATGAGCATAAGAAATCATACTGACACACAAACTTCTGATGATTTGTAGATTTTAAAAAGCACCACAGAG